AGGAGGAGGAGGAGGAGGAGGACCTCCCCGTCCTCCCTCTTCCCCTGTCCTACATATGGCAGCGGTGGTGGCAACCTGGCCCATCAGATTGGGGATCGAAGCATTCCCGCCCGAGCCCCTCGATGATGGGCCTGTTTTCCACCACCACCACCACCAGAAGTTGGATGGGGGGGTGGAGGAGGAGGACGAGGAGGACGAGGAGGAGGACGAGGACGAGGAGGAGGAGGAGGAGGAGGAGGAGGACCCCCTCCCCCTCCAACTTATGGTGGTGGTGGAAAACAAGCCCATCACTGGAGGAAGCGTTCCGTCTCGCGCGGAGGCAGGCCCTGCGGATGCGCTCCGGCAGGGGGGCGCGCACCCCGCGGGCGGCCCTGCGGCGCCGCCAGCTGCGGGAGGGTACGCACCTGCGCGGCCGCCACCGCTGCCGCACGGTCGGCCCCCTGAGATCCGACACTGAGACCCAGACCCCCTCGGGTGGTGAAAACATCACAACGGGAGGTTTTTCGATATGCTCTGCCTCTGGAGGCACTTACCGGCAATCGGGGCCGTCAAAAAATGATTCAGGATGAAAAACTGGTCCAGGGGAATGGGTCGAGACCTCCAGAGTCGACGCTATGAAAAAACATGTTCTTTCTTTTTCGAGCAAGCACCAAGCGGGGACTCGGACGGTGTCGCGGCGACTGGCCTGGGGCGCTCGCCTGCTCGCAATGCAGGCGCGCACCGGAAAAGGGCACAGGGCCCCCCAAAAGAAAATGCATTGAAAGGCCTGCGTCGTACTCACAGCACTGACGACGGACGGCTCATTGAGCCCGCGCCGCTGGAAACAACCCAGTCCTCTCACTACCCTCCCCAGGGTAGTGAAGTTATGAAAAAATCATGACGTCGGGGGTCTCGGGACGAAGCCAGGACATGCATCGGGCGTTGGCAAAACTGGGTTTAGTGGGACCTGGTTTACCGATGTGTACTGGGGGATGCTCCCCCCGCCCCGTTCCACTGACCAGAACTGCCGTCACCCGACAAGACACCAGCTACGGCAGACCTGGTGTAGTGATTCTGGCCAATTTAGGGGCCCTCGGGCCCTACTACTGACCGGGTCCCCTTACCTGGGGTCCTGGCTGTACCCGAACACGGTCGGACACGGGTAGAGTGAGGATCTCTTATAAGTGGCGATCTGGCGGGTCTGCAGGGTGTATCGGGCGCCGCGGCATTCCCTCCTCCTCCTCCTCCTCCTCCTCCTCCTCCTCCTCCTCCTCCTCCTCCTCCTCCTCCTCCTCCTCCATTCCTTCTCCCTATATATAACTTCTCCCTGTTGCACCCCGAGGACAGTTTTTAGGACGGGCCGGGCGTTTCGCCTGAGACTTCTTCACCAGTTATGACTCTGAATCACAGATGGAGGGCGGGTGGTTTTCAAAATGTGGCTCTCGCCTTAGCGCCGTGCACATTCGTTTTAAACATTTGCAAGGGTTTCACGGATCGAGGGCGGGTGGTTTTCAAAATGTGGCCTTAGCGCCGCGCACATTCGTTTAAAAATTGCAAGGGTTTCACGGATTGAGGGCGGGTCGTTCTCAACATGTGGCTCTCGCCGTAGCGCCGCGCACATAAAAAAGAATTTCACGGATTGAGGGCGGGTGGTTTTCAAAATGTGGCTCTAGCCTTAGCGCCGCGCACATTCGTTTAAAAAATTGCAAGGGTTTCACGGATTGAGGGCGGGTGTTTTTCAAAATGTGGTTCTCGCTTCAGCGCCGCGCACATTCGTTTAAAAAAATTGCGAGTTTCACGGAATCCCATGATCAACGAACCAGAAATGGTGTTTTGGAAGGATTCAGGCAGGCGCAACAGTTATGTTGATTCGCGGTGTTTGAAGTCCCATAAACAGCGTTCTGGCACGATTTCGGATCGTCAAGACGCAGCAGTCAGGTTGATATGTGGCGTTGAAATCCGGATAACATTTTTTAACACGCTTCAGGATCTTCAAACTGTTATCTTCCAACGAGGCATTTCCCTCAATGGGGATGAACCGTTGTAGGGGCCTATGAAGAGGGAGCTTGGAGGGAGGGCTAATTCCAACATCGTTGACGACCTTTGGGCTCCTCCTCCTCCTCCCTCCTCCTCCTCCTCCTCCTCCTCCTCCTCCTCCTCCTCCTCCTCCTCCTCCTCCTCCTCCCCGCCCTAGCCCTGCCCGAGATGCCGTGCCGCCCAGGCAAGCTGAGGCGTGGTGAATGCCCTGTGCTGTCCGGCAGAGGTTCTGTACGCTTCCCAGGGACACCCCCCCTCTCGTCGCAAACACGCCCGTGCATCGCCCCCCGAGGCCAAGATCGCTCGCAAAGAACTGCGGATCCGCGCCCAACAGCTTGCAGGACGCCAGGAACAAGGAAAAACCAGCCTCTGTAGGCTTTCCCGTTCAAGACGGCTACCAGAGGGGCCTCCAAGACTGGCCAGACGGCCCAAGATGACCCCAAGACGGCCCCAAGACGGCCAAGACTGCCCAAGATGAGCGCAACACGGCCTCAAGACGGCCCAAGAGGCCTCCAAGAGGCCCTCGAGAAGAGCCAGAAGAGGCAAACATAATTTATGTTGGTACAATGCTTGACATATCTCCACGTTTTCGCCTTCTCAAGCTTCCGTCAGCCGAAAACGATCCCAGGGGCCTCAAACAGAGCCCCAAGACGGCCCAAGAGGCCCCCAAGACGACCAAGACAGGCCCCCACGATGGCCTCCGAAGACGTCCGACGGGCCAACATTGTCCCGAGACGGCCCAAGAAGACCCCAAGAGGGGCCCAAGACGGCCTAACAGGCTCCCAAGAGGCCCCAGCAGGACCCCAAGGGGCTCCCAGGAAGCCCACAAGAGGGCTCAAGAGGGCCCAGAGAGATCTTCTACTCCTCCTCCTCCTCCTCCTCCTCCTCCTCCTCCTCCTCCTCCTCCTCCTCCTCCTCCTCCTCCTCCTCCTCCTAATCCTCCTCCTCCTCCTCCTCCTCCTCCTCCTCCTCCTCCTCCTCCTCCTCCTCCTCCTCCTCCTCCTCCTCCTCCGCCTTTGCCTTCCTCACCAAATCTTCACCTGAGCATCCTCGTACGGCGCAACACATAGCCCAATATCTTGGCCAAATGTTGGCCCAACGCTTGGCCGCATGGGCACGTCCACAAACAGGAGGCAGTGGTGGCACGCCAAAAGCGTTTTCGATAATACGCCAGGCCAGGTGCTCAGAACCTCCAAAGGCTTCCTGGAGACCCCCCAAAACGCCTCCCAAGACAACCACGAGACACCTCAAAAGGCTCCCTGGAGACCCCCCCGGGGCACCGTGGCAGGTGGGCCGCAGGCCACTACGGCGGGTTCACGTCGCGATGACTTCGGCGTTGGGCCCTGGCACCAACTTGGTCATTCAATTTTGAACAACCGTGGCGATCACTGGCGGCGTTCAACCCTGAACGCTGGCGCCGGGGTCGTCACCGAGTCAACGCGGCGCGTCACCGAGTCAACGCGGCGCGTCACCGGGTCAACGCGGCGCGAATCAAGGCTGTCCACGGCGACAGAACACGGCCGAAAACCGGCCGAACCGACAGCGAGACCGAGACCAACCAAAGCTGGCACGGGCAGCGCAGGAGGGGCGCGGCGACGCAGCGACGACACGACGGCCGACCGAACCGAGCCGACCAAACGCAACCGACCGACCGAGCCGTGGGCCTCGACGATCGTAGAAACGCGAGGGCGCGCGCGCAGTGCGGAGCGGAGGGCCACGCGGCGGCAGGGGTCGGGCAATGGGCGCGGCGCCTGGCGCGTACGGGTCGCAGGCGCCCGGGGCCGCCGCCTGCGCGGGCTGCGCGCCCATGCCTGCCAGGCTGGCCCGCGGGCGACGACGCACGACGCACGACGGACGACGCACGACGCACGACGGACGACGCACGACGGCGAGACGACGACGGCGACGACGACGACGACGACGGCGGCGACGACGACGACGACGACGACGACGACGACGGCAACGACGGCGACGACGACGACGGCGACGACGGCGACGACGGCGACGGCGCTGCGGCGGCGACAGCGACGGCGGCGGCGACGGCGACGGCGGCGGCGGCGGGAATAAGAGGTCCCCAAGAGTATTCAGAGGCCGACAAAGGATAAGAACGTCAAACAAAATCCATCATCATCATCATCATCACCACCACCACCACCATCACCAGCATCATCACCACCCCGCCACCACCACCACTATCATCACCATCACCATCATGACCATGATCATGATCATCAGCATCATCATTATCATCACCACCATCACCACAACCATCATCATCAGCATCATCAGCAGCAGCATCATCATCAGCATCATCATCAACAGCATCATAACCACCACCCCTCGGAGCACCAACCCCACCACAATCATCATCATCATCATCATCATCATCATCATCATCATCATCATCATCATCATCATCATCATCATCAACCGCAGCAGCACCACCATCAGCACCATCAGCACCATCAGCACCATCATCATCATCATCATCATCATCATCATCATCATCATCATCATCATCATCATCATCATCATCATCATCGTCATCGTCATCGTCATCGTCATCGTCATCGTCAGCAGCAGCATCATAACAGCCATCATCGTCGTGATCATCTCACGTTCCCCCATCGCCCTCCTGGCGTGCCTGACATGGAGACCAAAATAATGGAGACAATGCCCGATACCATGTGTTGTCCAAAACCGACAGCGGCCGCTGTTTGGCAGGCAACCTCCTTCCATAAAGGGCAACGTCTGCGGGGAGACCGAGAGGCAGACAATCCTGTCCAGGGCAGACGGGGGCTGCCGCATATGCCTTCTCCCCCACGACGTTCTTCCCCAAGTCTGAACGAAACGACAACAGTAAATAAGCCACGAGGTGCAAACTATGTAGTGTAGGCTATGTGCTGTACTATACGTGGTGCAAAGCAGAAGTGGCAACGAAGCGGCAACGTGGCGGGAACGTTGCGAAACCTCGCCAGACCACACAGCGCGCGAGGCGGCAACGAGGCGGCAACGAGGCGGCAACGAGGCGGCAACGTGGCAACACCCACCCAGCGCACGAGGCGGCAACGAGGCGGCAACGGGCGGCAACGTGGCGAACCCTCGCCAGACCCAGCCAGCGCACGAGGCGCCAAAGAAGAGGCAACGGGCGGCAACGTGGCGAAACCTCGCCGGACCCGCCCAGCGCACGAGGCGGCAACGAGGACTCAACGTGGCGAAACCTCGCCAGACCCATCCAATTCCTTAGATATCAAATAACAGCCCTCAAGTGCAAACACTGTTTGGGGAATACTCACAAGCTCTGTCCGAGCTCCGTGCGGATTTCTTGGATCTGCGATGGGCCCCCTCCCTGGCGCGAGGAGCGCACCAGAGCGGCGCCGGAGGCGCCGTCAGGGGGGCCCCAGTTCCGATCCAAGAAATCCGCGCGGAACTCCGAAAATTTATGTTCATGCAGCGTTTGTTCTTCGAATCTCATATCCCATCCCCCCTCCGCCTCGACCAGCTCAGGGTGAAAAACATCGAGCTGGATTCGCCGATGCGTCGCCGATAGATCGGCGATGGGCCGCCGAGAGCAAATCCCAACGCTTTTGGGCGGGGTGGGCTATTTGGCCCCCACCAGGCAACGAGTGGGCGATTGGGAGGCGATGCAGCACCCCCTCAGCCTGTCCCCCCCCACCTGACGTTGCCACTCCTCCGCCGCCTCCTCCTCCTCCTCCTCCTCCTGCGCCTCATCCTCGTCCTCCTCCTCTTCTTCCTCCTCCTCTCTTCCTCCTCCTCCTCCTCCTCCTCCTCCTCCTCCTCCTCCTCCCTCCTCCTCCTCCTCCTCCTCCTCCTCTCCTCCTCCTCCTCCTTCCTCTCTCCCTCCCTCCGCCTCCTCCTCCTCCTTTGCGCCTCCCTCCCTTCTCCTCTTCTTCCTCTCTTCCTTCCTCCTTCTCCTCTCCAATCTCCTCCGCCTCCTCCTCCTCCTCCCTCCTTCCCTCCTCCTCTCCCTCCTCTCCTCCTCTCCCTCCTCCTTCCTCCGTATCCTCCGCCTCCTCCTCCTCCCTCTCCTCCTCCTCCTCCCTCCTCCTCCTCCTTCCTCCTCCTTCTCCTCGTCATCCTCATCCTCCGCCGCCTCCTCCTCCTCCTCCTCCTCCTCCTCCTCCAACGCCTCCAACGCCTCCAACGCCTCCTCCTCCTCATCATCATCATCCTCCTCGTCCTCCTCCTCTCCCCTCTCCTCCTCCCCTCCTCCTCATCCTCCTCCTCCTCCTCCTCCGCGGCCGCCTCCGCCTCTTCCTCCTCCTCCGCCGCCCCCGCCCCTGCCCCCACCCCTGTTTCCGCCCCCACCCCCTCCCCCGCGTCCGCCTCCGCATCCGCCTCCTCTGCCTCCTCCGCCTCCTCCTCCTCCTCCTCTTCTCCTCCTCCTCCTCTTTCTCCTCCTCTTAGTATTATGTTGTTTCTTCAAGTTATCATGGTGACTACGACTATTATTAGTAGTATTAGTTATTGTCATGATCATTCATGATATGATTGTTATTATCTGTTTTCCCATTATTACTATTAGTATTATCAGTCTGCGTCGTATTACCAGTTTTCGTAGTACTACGATTACTACTAGTCATATTTTTATTATTGGTATGAGTAGGAGTAGTCGTAGTCGTGTTATCAGTACCAGCATTCGCATTATTATTCTTACGACTATCACGATATAGTGTTATCAACATTAGTATCATTACTGAGCGTACTATTCTTACGATTGTCATTATTCGTCCGTTTATGATTATTAGTATTCGTATTCTTCTTACGAATGCGATTATTCGTCGTATGGTTATTGAAATTTGTATTGGTATCATGTTTATGTCTATTCGTAGTGTGTTTCATCTTCTTCTTCTTATCAATATTGTATGCGTCCCCATTATTAGTTGTGTATTTCTTGTTTCCTTATTATGAGTATTAGTACTACTAGTCCTATTATTCTTCGTTCGGTTATTAGTATTATGCTGCTTTCGTTTAGCTATATTATTATTCCTGCTAGTATTCATTGTATGATTCGTATCCTGTGTAGTCGTAGCATTATTCTTTTTATCCGTAGTCGTCTTATCATTATTCTGCTTGGCATTATTATTCCTCAGATGCCTGGTATGTCTATCACTCATATTCGTTGTATGAGTATGAGCCGTACTCGTCTAAGTCTTCGTGTGCTTAGTGTTATTCTTCATTGTTTTCGTACTGGTACTCTTGAATCTTACTACAAGCGCTAGTAGTGTTACTTTGCTTCTTCGTATTTGAACACCTGATTATTAGTATTAGTCTTTTACTATGGGTGGTAACACTATGCATACTACTATTATGATTGTCAGTCGTATTATTGTTATGGTCCGTGGTTATATTATTCTTGTTCTTCCCCGCCGTCTTCTTATTCGCCTCCTTCTTCATATTATGCACCTGCTTTTTCTTAGCACCCGTATTCTTAGTAGTATTACTCTTCTGGTTAGTAGTATTGCTAATATTCTTAATATTCTTGTTTGTTGATAGTTTCCGCATTGTTCTTATTGGCGCGTTATTAGCAGTAAGAATGCTAGTCGCCTCAGTCTTCGCATTAGTTGTATTACTCTAATTCACCATAACATATGTATGCGCTTTATTCTTAGAACTGGCATTACGATTCGTATTAGTATGATTTTTCTGCTACATATTCTTAGTATGATTAAGATGCTTATCATTTTCCTTGTGAATACGATCCGTATGGTTATTTATATTATTGTTATTGTTGTCCTTCTTCGCATTATGATTATTATCAGCATTAGAATTCACAGTACTATCATTATTCGTATTACTCTTTTTATTATTAGTATTCCTAATCGTGTGTTTCTCTTTCTTCTGATGCGTTTCATTATTATTAGTTTCGTCAGATGTGCCTTCTTTTTCGTTTCGCATTATTATTATGATGACTCGAATGTTTCTTCTGGCTACTATTAAGAATATATTGATCGATCGTATTAGTATTCGCCGTATTCGTTATTATTATGCTTATTATCAGTAGTAGTACTATGCTTATTCTTATTATTAGTCGCATTATTATTCTTATCCTAAGAAGTGTAGTCTTCTCATTCCGAAAACGATTCTTATTTGTCGTAAGGATCGACTGGCTCTTACTCTTAATTCTACGATTAATATTAGTAATACCGTTGTCCGTCTTACTCGCATTACCATCCAGAATATTATTCCAAATATCATATTGTTCGTGATAGTAGTAGTAATAATGGTAGTAGTAGTAGTAGTAGTAGTAGTAGTAGTAGTACTAGTAGTAGTAGTAGTAGTAGTAGTAGTAGTAGTAGTAGTAGTAGAGTAGTAGTAGCAATAGTAGTACTCGTCCTCTTCTTCGCACTCCTGTGATTATTGTTATTTTATCCATATTAGTATTCGCATTCGTCTGGTTAGTATTATGATTTGTTTTCTTCTTGCTATTATTAGAAATCCGTACTATCATTCGTATTTGTGGTACGCTTCTTATTTTGCGTATTCGTCATATTCTTCGAATGTTTCCTCTTCCTATTCCTCCTCCTCCCCCTCCTCCGCCTCCTTCTCCTCCTCCTCCTCCTCCTCTTCCTCCTCTTCCTCCACCTCCTCCTTCCTCTTTCCTCCTTCCTCCTTCCTCCTTCCTCCTTCCTCCTTCCTCCTTCCTCATTCCTCCTTCTTCCTCCCTCCTCCATCCTCCCTCCTCCCTCCTCCCTGCTCCCTCCTCCCTCCTCCCTCCTCCCCCCTCCCTCCTCCCTCCTCCCACCTCCCTCCTCCTCCTCCCTCCTCCCTCAGCTGCCTTCCCGGGTCAGGGTCGTTTTCCAGCACACAGGGTGCTGAGACTGGCCGCCTCCGCCGGGACAGCAGCCACGCGTGCCGCCCCTGCCGGGCGCCTCCTGGCAGGCGCAGGCGACCGCGTGCAACGAGGCTCCTCCGGCCGGCGCTGCTGCAGCCAGCCGAGGCCAGAACTCCGTGCCCCTGCACGGAGACTCGGCTACGCGGCCCGCGTCGGCCGCCGCCCGCACATGCAGGACGTCGCCGCGCTGGTCGCCGCGCTGGTTCGCCGTCCCGTTCCGCTTCCACCTTCTGTGCGGCAGCATGACGCGCCGTCACCGGACGCCCATCCACGCATGCTCCTTCGTGCCCATGATGCCCGCCCTGTATATGCAGATGGCAGATGGTAATGTTCCTCACGTTCATCCGCCGCCTGCCCATCCGCCGCCCCTCTTTCCAATGCGGAGTTTGCCGTCGTCGTCGCCGCCGGCTACGCGGGCGACGATTGGCGCCGCTGCTGATGTGCCGACGTCGCCGCCGGCTACGTCCCCTCGCTCTTCGGCAAGTGGCTCTGCCGTTGCCGCCGAGTCCGACGTCCCGCCGTCCGAGGACAACTCGCACAGCACTGCCGACTCCGACGATTTCGCGTACCCGCGCAATGTCTCTGCTGCAACTGCTGGCGTGGTGCCGCGCGGCGCCGCCGACGCTGCTTGGCGAGGGCTCTGGCGACCCGGGGGGCTCTCGCGATCAGAGGGCTGCTCCGCCTGAAGCTGCTCAGCATGCGGCTCCTGCTGCTGCGGTGGCACCTGGCGCCGTTGCCCGCGGCCAGCGCGACCGTGCGGGCCTGCACGCCGCAGCTGCCGCGTGTGCCGCCGCGCGCTCAGGCCGAAGGCGATGAGCAGCCCAGGCCGACGGAGATGAAGAGGGTGCACCGGACGGCGCCAGCCGACATGGAGCCTCAGGATGCCGGAGGACCGCTCGTGATAGCGGGCAATTTGACGGCGCCAGGGATGCGTCCCCCCGTGCTGGAGCGGGGCCCCGCGCTTCGGAGCTACTTGCGGCGCGTGGCACAGGAACGTGCTGCCGCTGCCAGCTCCGCGTCGGCGCCAGGATGAGGCTCGTTTCTCAAATTCATTAGCTTGCGTCGCATCCCCTCCCTCCCTCGGTTAGCGCGAAGGTAATCGCCTTTGTTTGCCTCCGCCGTCGTCGTTCGTCCGTGTCGCGAGGGTGCGAAGGTTTCCTTCCCCCGCTCAGGTACGAGTTGTCACGACATCACAGAGCAAGAGAGTTTCGGTCTGTGTCCCAGCAGTATCCCTAGCTCTCTTCCGCGTCACGAGAGCAGGAGGAATTCGGTTTGTGTCCCAGCCCTCTTTCTCCCTCTCGTTATTCACTTATCCTCCCTCCCTCCCTCCCTCCACTCCCACTCCCCAGTGGCCGCGAGCCCACGCCGTGGCAATTGATTCGTTGCGCGCTCCGCTGCAGGCCGCTCGTTTTCAGAGAGGGATATCAGCGGTGAGGAGGATGGGGAAGGATGGATGGGTGAAAAGTTGATTGTGATCTTTCCCTAAGCCCTGCCTCTCGTGCCAACGTGTGCCGTCTGCCCCGTCGCAAGGTCACGAGCAGGCGGTTTTCGGTTGCGTCCCAGCCTTCTTCTCTCCTCCTCTTCTAGATGTTGTTTCCCTCCCTCCCTCTCCTCCTTCTCCCGAGTGCTCTCGACGGGCACAGCAAGCCACTTGTTGCTGCCTCAGCGTTTGCCGTCCAGTTGCCCATTATGGAGGTGGGGGTGTTTGTGAGGATCGGTGGGTAGGATAGTCAGTGGAGGGGGCTATGTCGTACCCAGCTGGTGTCACGAGAGTCGGAGGTGTGCGGTCTGCGTCCCAGCCTTCTCCCTCCCTCTCGTCATCATGTTGCCCTCCCTCCCTCCCTCCCCTCCTCTTGTCCACGGGTTTGGGCACAGCACCAATGGCGTGGCACCGGGGAGCCAAATGCGGAGCGCACGTCTGAGTTGCTACGTTCGCAGAAGGAGAACTTGCCGCTCCCCGCCGCCAAGGACCTCGCTGCCGACGTGAATTTGGAGGCGTCCGCCCTCGCGGCCATGGAGGCCTCAGCCCCACGGCGCCTGGCGGCTATTCTCCACGCAGACGACCCCGTGCTACTCGCATCATCCCGAGGCGCCGCACAGAGGTCGCAGGCCGTGCTTGCGGATTGGGCCCTTCGCCAGAAGACCTCGCCTCACACAAAGCCACCAAGCATGCTGTCATGGTCCACGCCGCGGCGCTGCCTAAAACGGCGGGCGGAGCTGCACCGCCCCTTGTCCTCCCTTTGCGGGGGACTCAGCCACTCCAGCTCCATGTGCCAGAATCCCACAGGTGATTAGGCTATAAAAGCAAGGAGATCTGCGCATGGAGCGTATATTGGCTTCTCGTTTGGGGGAAGCATCTGCCCAGTGTGCTACTTTAGCAGGCCAGGTCTCCAGTGGGCCCCTTCCCTTGGCCGTGGCGACAGGGATTTTCGAGACGAAGATCGGCACCTTCCTCCGCTTCGGCAGGTAGATTTCTGCCATAGCAGACAGGGCAGCTCTCAAGCTGGGCGAAGCCTACTTGTCCTGGGCGAGTGCCTTCCTCGACAGCGCCCCTGGGAACCCGCCGTTCCAGCGGTGGCGCATCTAGGATGGACGCTTTCAGGCTCTGGTCGTGCATTGCTCGAGGCTGCCTCCCGACTCGCAGGCCTTTGGAGGCTTCCGGATTCGGATTTATACAGTAGTGTCACCATCCGTGCCCATCTGGTGCCTGGTAGGACTTGGTCGCGCGCTTCCCTGTAGCTGCTCGAGTCTTGGGACCCGCCGGAGTGGCCAGCCTGGGGAGGCGTTTTCCAAGGGTCCAGCCTGGAAGCGTACAAAGCCAGAGTCAGGGAGCTAACGGAGGAACGACGCCGCAGGCTCCTCAACCAGGAGCTCGCCAAGCGCGCGCGACCGCTACCTTACTTGACCTGGGTGGGGGGGTCCGGCAGGATCTACTCCGAGCCCTATCGTCAGGCCTGAGCTGGGCTGAGCTCCAGGGCCAGCGACCACTCGCCCGATTGCGCCTTCGCCTTGTCCCTCTCGCACGCATCGGCGGGGCGCGTTCTTGTCCTCGTCGCCAGCGTTGCATCTGATGCGGGGTCATCACGTACAGCCCTACTTTCCTCGTTCCTGCAGCAAGCCAACGCACGGAGGCCATGCGGCAGGCCTGTTGGCGCGCTCGCCGAGCGGACGCTCCGCCTGAGCGGGAGGCCACCACAAGGACGACACTGAGCTCGCGACCGGGGGGGGGCTGGCTACGCAGAGGCGGCCGCGCCGCCGAGTTTCTTAGAGGAGTCATTCTGGGCCAAGCCACCGGGAGCCGATTAGTACAAATCTTTGCTTCTGCTGGGGTGGCCCCATCTCCCTCCGTTCTCTGTCTCGCAGCTGCGCCCTGCGCTGACACGAGGCGGCTAAAAGCACGGACGGGGGTCCCCGTGGGAGGGAGTCGCCGTGAGGCCCCCCTCCCCAGGCCTCCCCCTCTTCTCCATCGCGTTCGCTTCCAAGGCCAAGGAGCGGCTCCTCCTCCGCGGTCCTATGAGAAGCGCGGGGCCAGGCTCAGTCGGGCGTTCCTTGGTCCGCTCCCTGTCCTCCCCCTCCTCTTCCTCTAGCCCCGCAGGCGGTGTCGCTCCTTCCCCTGAGCGGACGCTGCGGGATCGCGGCAGTCGCCGTCCTTCGGCCCTGCTGCCATCTGCTACAGGGACCGTGCCCGCGCCCCCGTAATGCCGCCTCGCTGGGAGGACACCAACCAACCAACCTCCCTCCCTCCTCCCTCCTCCCTCTCCTGACTCTCCTCCCTCTCCTCCCTCTCCTCCTCCTCCTCCTCCTCCTCCTCCTCCTCCTCCTCCTCCTCCTCCTCCTCCTCCTCCCCCTCCTCCTCCCTATCCGCCTCCTCTTACTCCTCCTACCTATTCTCCTCCTCCCCTCCCCCCTACCCTCCTGCCACACCCCCGGCGCCGTAGGCAGAGCACGGGTAGGCGCCCTGCGCGTACGGGTCCACTGGGGCGGCGGCGGCGGCGGCGGCGGGAGCCGCACCGGCTGCGGGCTGCTGGGGGGGGAGCGCGAGGGCGAAGGGAAGGTCCTCCTCATCTTCCTCCTCCTCTTCCTCCCCCTCCTCCCTCCCTCCTCCTCCTTCCTCATTCCTCCTTCCTCCTTCCTCCTTTTCCTTGCTCCTTGCTCCTTGCTCCTTCCTCCTTCCTGCCTCTTCCTCCTTCCTCCTCCTCCTCCTCCTCCTTCCTCCTTCCTCCTTCCTCCTTCCTTCCTCCTCCTCCTCCTCCTTCCACCTCCCTCCTCCTCCTCCCTCCCTCCCTCTTCCCTCCTCCTTCCCCCCTCCTCCCTCGTCCCTCCTCCCTCCTCCTCCCTCCTCCACAATTACTCAATATGAATACTACTCTCCCTCTTCCCCTCATGACGTCTTGGGAATATTCGCCCCCCCCCCCGCGTACTGTTTTTTACACACAGGTTTCCCTGGAGTTGGGTTCTCGCCTGCATTTGTCTCCAGTATGCTGCAAATGCTGCTCTCGCTGAGGCGCCGGCCTCATTTTCGGGCCCCGCTCGTTCCGAATCGTGCTCCCGCTGCAGCGCTGGCATCATTTCCGCCGGCACCCGGGCTGCACGCCCGAGCCGGCGCCCGGGCCGGCGCCCGGGCCGGGTCCTGAGCCAGTTCCGGCCGGCGCCGGAAAATCGAGTTCCGAGGCGGCGCCGAAAAAAGGCCATTCTAATACACATTTTTCTTTTGAGAATGCTGAATTTCTTCTTTCGGCGCCCGGGAGACCTCCTGGGCCGATTCCGACGCCCAGGCCGGCGCCCGAGCCGGCGCCCGGGCTGGACGCCCGAGCCGGCGCCCGGGCCGGCGCCCGGGCCGGGTCCGGAGCCGGTTCCGGCTGGCGCCGGAAAATCGAGTTCCGAGGCGGCGCCGAAAAAAGGCCATTCCAATACAATTTTTCCTTTTGAAAATGCAGGGTTTCACAGGTTTCGAGCTGAGATTATTGTTACCGAAACCGTTTGGCTCAAGAAAAGGAATCCAGGGGCTCCGCCATTCCGCATGGTAGCGGAGCCTGGTCGAATGCCCACGGCCAGGCTCCCAGTTTCTCGTTTCTCGCGCAGAGATGGCAACAGCAGAGGAGGTTCTGAATAGGATCGTGGCCATGGAAGGCGTCGTGGTTCAGCAGGGAGATCAGATAGCGAGGTTGGAACAACAACTTCGAGAGGCGAATCAACGAGCAGCAGCAGCAGAAGGAGCAGCAGATGACCGACCCTATCAACAGAGATCGGAGTCACTCGTCGATACGAAGCTGCTCGGAAAGCCAGATAAGTTCTCAGGTGAGCTCGACGAGAATGCGAAGTACAAGGACGGAGTCACGTGGGAGAACTGGAGTTTCGTTCTGGCGGCCTACTGCATGGCGGTGGACCCTCACATGGCGGAGTTGATGAGGGACGCTGCGAAGGTCGACGCGGAGGCTTTCGCACACGAAGATTTAGACGAAGAGGCCCAGCGAGTCAACACCAACATGTACTACATCCTTGCACTGACGTGTAAGGACAAGGCTCAGGGCATCGTGAAGAACGTTCCCTCAGGAGAAGGCCTAGAGGCCTGGCGACTGCTGTGTTTGGAGTTCGAGCCGAAGGTGCCGTCGAGGTTCTCAGGTATGTTAGACTCGATACTGTATCCGAATGTGCAGGAGAACGATCCGATCAAGGGCATCGTGTCGTGGGAGACGTTGGTTCAGAGATATGAAGAGCAAACAGGAGAGAAAGTCATGGAGTCGATCAAGTAGTCTGTTCTCAGTACGCGACTGGTGCCGTCAAAGCTTCGAGAACATCTCATGCTGAATGCGACGAGGTTCACGACATACGCGTTGGTACGAGCGGAGGTGTTGAACTACTTGAGGTCGAAGCAGGCGGCGATGGCACTAAGCGGACCTGCGCCTATGGATCTGGATGCGCTCACGTTCGGCAAGTTCGGCAAGGACTCGAAAGGCAGACACGGCAAAGACAAGAACAAGGGCAAGGGCTACGACCAGAGCGCGATGCAGCCTTGCAAGTATTGCGGCAAGAAAGGTCACAAGCTCATGGAGTGCAGGAAGGCCACACAGGACATGAAGGAAGGAAAGATTACGAAGGAGGACTTGCGAAAGATCAGCAAGGGCAAGGGCAAGGGTAAGGACAAGAGCGACAAGGCGAAGAACACACCTGTGCCCGACAAGCCCAAGGACCAAGACATGAAGTACTTAGGTTACGATTACGACGCCGAGGAGGGCTACATCTTCATGCTGAACGAGAACGAGACTGAGGAGCTAGATCACATTTCGAGTTTAGATCACACGGAGGTAGACGGATACACTGTGAATCTAGATAGCAGGAAGGAGCCCAATCACAATTTCAACGAGAATGACGAGAGCTACCTGATTCCGATAGAGTTCGAGAATGACAACGACGGTAAGATCGAGGTGATGGTCGATTCATGTGCGGCACGGAGTGTTTGCCCACCTGGTTTCGCACCAAGAATACCACGAGAAGAAGCGGACGCACCACCACTACGACAGGCAGATGGTACTAAGATCTACGCGAACGGCTGCAAGACGGTACAAATGCAGGTGGCTGGGACTCGACAACCAATTCGAGGACAGTTCGATGTACAAGACGTTCACAAGACGATCATTGCGGTTAGCGACCTGACGAAGGGAGCTCAAGGTGTATGGTTCGACAAAGGTGGTGGAGCAGTGGTCAATCCGAAGGTCAGCCAACGGATCAAGGAGATGATCGAGTACGAGAACGCGAACAACCAGATGAACAGACCACTGAGGATCTCGAAGAGGCGTGGGATCTACAGCTTCGACGTGGACGCGAGCACGCTCTGCCCTCTAGAAGGTGATGAACCTGAACAAGCTCAGCAGCCGGCGGAACAGGAGGAGGAGATCGAGACAGATGAGGCGCGACCGCCGAAGGTCAAGAAGGAGAGGTACAAGCCCACAGCGGAGGAGATAGCCATCCACGAGAAGACGCACATGCCGTATCGGGACTGGTGCAAGTGGTGTCTTTGGGGCCGAGGCAAGGAAGATGGTCACAAGAAGGCTAACCCAGAGGAGGCGCCGACGATTCCAGTCATTAGCATGGACTACTGTTTCGTGAACACCGAGCTGGAGACGGAGATGGTCAACATCCTGGTGATGGTACAGAAGCCTGAAGATGCAGTTGCTTCCATCATGGTGATCCACAAGGGGCCCAGTGAGTACGTCAACTCAGCGGTGGAGTTCTACTTGGACGTTTGGGGAGCAGCGAATATCATCCTGAAGGGCGACCAGGAGCCATCACTACAAGCGGTGATCACGGCGGTGAAGAACAGGAGGAAGCACAGCACGCAGGTGGAGAAGGCTCCTAAAGGTTCTCATCAGAGCAACGGTGCGATTGAGAATGCGGTGGAGAGGGTGGAGTCGTTACTACGTACACTACACAGCGAGCTGGAGGTGAAGTTGGAGGTGAAGATCGGACCCAAGAGTTTGATCATGCCGTGGTTGGTTAGGCACGTGGGGTACTTGCTCACCAGGTTCGCTATCAAGACGGATGGCAGGACAGCTTGGGAACGACTGGGACGTGCAAAGTTCAAGTCAGAGCTCGGAAAGATCGGAGAGACGATCGACTACAAGATACAGGCTAAGGACTACTCCAAGCTGGAACCGAGGTGGGGCGAAGGTATCTTCTTGGGCAGGCGCGACGAGAGCGACGAAATCATCGTAGGTACGTCGAGAGGGAGCGAGCACGCCAGGACGATGAAGCTCAGGGCCACGGAGGACAAGTACAACAAGGAGGTCTACAACACGTTCATAGGAGTGCCGTGGAATCCCAGGGGCTTGGAGGTGAAGGATCAGAATGAGGTGGTCAGGAGACGGAAGTACATCACGAAGGCGCTGATCGAGGAGTATGGACCTACAGATGGGTGTGCAGCATGTGAAGGGTACTCATCAATACACAACGCGAGGTGCAGGACGAGGTTCGCCAAGATCTTCGATGAGGCCGAGACGAGGATCGAGATGGCATCAGGAGATCAACCAGGACAAGCGCAACCTGCAGCAGCACCAGCGGCAGTTCCAGCAGCACAGCCACCACCCGAAAATGCTAGAGTAGCAGAACCACGACTTGAAGAAGCAGGTCAGCGAGCTCCAGGTACACCGGTTGGTCATCACTTCGGACGGGAGCTACAGATCGAGCAGGACGCGGAGATGACGGGTAACGCGATCGTAGCTGGAGGAGATGTGGCACCTACTACGCCAGGACGGGAAGAGGCGATGGAGATAGGCATCATCATGTCGATCACGAAGGAGGAGGACCGCCACGTCTGCGAGGAGTTGGAGCCGAGGGTGAACTACGACAAGCTGGTGGGTGACGGAGTCTACAGAGACGCGTACACAGGCGAGGAGTTGTTGAAGGAGCTGGTCATCAACGGCAGGACGAAGGAGATGAAGAGCATGGAGGAGTTTGAGGTCTTTGAGTGGGTACCGCTTGAGGACTGGATGAAGCCGTTCGACACCAAGTGGATCGACAGCACGAAGTACGACTTACAGAACAACGAGTGGATCGTGAGGAGCCGATGTGTTCACAGAAGGTATAGCGACGGAACCGACCCCTCGAATTTCGCAGGGACACCCGCACTATGGGCAGTTAAGCTGGTGATTTCGAGAGCAGCTTCAACGAGGACGACCGAGTCGAGGAGGAAGAAGCTTGGTCTATACGACATCTCAGTGGCGTTCTTTCACGCGTCGCTGAAGGAGCCCCAGTACTGCTGGCCACCACCTGAACAGCGACGACCAGGGATGCTTTGGAAGTTGCAGAAGGCGATGTATGGGACGCCAGAGGCGTCAATGTTATCTCAAGGAGAAGTTCGAGATAACTTCAGCCAGAACGGGTACGAGGAGTTGAAGACGGTGTGCTGCCTGTACTACCATCCTGGCAAGGACTCGCTCTGTGCTGGACATGGAGATGACTTTGTGGTGGAGGCGTACGACGAGGAGCTGGATGAGTTCGACAAGCTCATGGCCAACAGGTTCAAGGTCAAGCCTCAACCGAGAGTGGGACCAGGAGGAGCAGCTGAAAGTACTTTTCTCAACAGGACGGTGCTCTGGGGCGAGGAGGGCTTCGGCATTCTACCAGACCCGAAGCTGATCTTGAAGATGGTGGAGTTGTACGAGCTGAAGCAGGCCAAGCCGGCAGAGACACCGAGTTCGAAGCACACTGCCAAGGGAGTTCGAGAGGCGGAAGACCCAGTCGGACGACAGAGCTCTATGTTGTACAGGAGTTGCGGTGGCATCGCACAGTATATGGCTGGGGATCGTTGGGATATTCAGGAAGCAGTTCGAGATCAGAGTTGTTCGTACAACGACCCGCGGGTGAGGCACATACTCAAGCAGAAGCGTCTGGTCAGGTATCTGAAGGGCACGGCCGACATCGTGATATTCTACCCGTATCAGCAGGAGACGTTCAAAGTGACGGTGTCGGTGGATGCGGACTGGGCTGGACAGGAGGCGACATGCAAGAGTATTTCATCAGGTGGAGTTCGATTAGGAGCTCATCTACTGGAGAGCTGGGTACTATCTCAGGCGACGGTGGCGCTCTCAAGTGGGGAGTCGGAGTTCTACGCGATGGGTTCGGGCACAGCCAGAGGTCTCACCATCAAGCACGTGTTGCAGGAGATGGCGCAGATGAGGAACGAGTTGGAGACGGACTCAGCAGCGGCGAAGGGCATGATCCACAGACACGGAGTAGGACGAGTACGACATCTACAGACGCGGTGGATCCGGCATCAAGATCTGGTACGAGACGGAGACATGGAGATGGTGAAGGTCAATACGAAGGACCAGGTGGCGGACATAGGAACGAAGCCGATGGACAAGGACACGCTCAGGAGACACATGAAGACGCTGGGTTTGATCTCAATCAAGGCGACGAGTTTCAAGGACCCAGAGGTGCTCACGAAGGTTTTGGCGGTAATGACGGTCATTTCGGGAGCAGAGGCGACAGACGACTACTACTACGAGGATGGTTTCAGAATCAATGTGAACATGAAGAGCGAGTTCAACTGGTGGAGTTTCGTTTCACACTTGGTGGTTACGATTGTGGCAGTGGTTTTCAGTTACTACGTGTTCGTGGTAAAGGCGAAGCAGGACAGGGTTGTGGGTCAATCTTCAGAGACACGAGGTGCCTTTGGGTTGTGGTCCACGCCATTTCGACATGTACGAGACGAAGAGGGTTGGGGGTTCCTTCAGGACCCGAGGTGTAACCTTCAGGACCCGAGGTCAGGGTCAGATGAACGATCACCGTCGAGGCGACGCAGGAGAGACGCTTCGCCAGAGACAGAGGTGCAGTTCAAGAAGATGAGGTCAGTTGAGGTCCAAGGGCCAGTGACCTACAAGAGCAGGAGCAAGCTACATTATGAGGCTGACGGTCGGTATACGCCGTTTGGCACTCGAAAGTGGGGAGCTTGGTTGCAGTGAATGCACGCACCCTGGACAACCAGTACGAGATACCGTCAGTGTTGAGCAATGCTGGCTTGTTCAGAAGATATACGACGGAGATTGATCACCTCCCGAGGTCGTAACGCGCGAGAGAGAGAGAGAACGAGATAGAGGCCGATATCACGTGAATGAAGGTTTCCTTTGCCATGGCTGTTTCTTTACACGAGTCGGAACCGAACGGGTTTCGGCTAGCACTGTTATAAGTACTGCTGTAATTTGAGATGGTGGGCTGACGAGCCCGCCAGCGTGCACAGCGGCCTCGAGGAGGGCTGCAGGGTTTCACAGGTTTCGAGCTGAGATTATTGTTACCGAAACCGTTTGGCTCAAGAAAAGGAATCCAGGGGCTCCGCCATTCCGCAGAAAATGCTGAATTTCTGCTTCTGGCGCCCGGGAAGCCTTCCCCAGTGTTAGGTTTTCGCCTGCAATGTTTCCGAAAATGCTGCCTCATTTTCGGGCCCCGCTCGTTCCGAATCGTGCTCTCACTGCAGCGCTGGCCTCATTTCCGTGCTTCCGCTCGTTCCGAATCGTGCTCCCGCTGCAGCGCTGGCCTCATTTCCGCGCTTCCGCTCGTTTCGACTCGTGCTCCCGCTGCAGCGCTGGCGTCATTTCCCGTGCCATGCCACGGCATGCAATGCAATGCCAGGTTGATACTACGCTTCGCGGTGCTCTTCTACGCCATGCCATGCCGTGCTCTACAATGCATCGCGTACCCTTTCGGGATCATTGCCCTGCTCGACATCCGACTGTGCGAGTAGAGAGGGGATCTGCGCCATGGTAAGGGATGGGAGGGAGGGGTAGGATGTCAGACGCGAGCGCACCTAGCTTGTCTTCATCCACCTCCTCCTCCTCCTCCTCCTCATCCTCCTCCTCCTACTCCTCCTCCTCCTCCTCCT